TCCATGTTTCGTTAGGATTAGAAGAAACACCTAACATCTGCCAGGGACAATCAACCTTTGTAGAACTTGTCAAATCACTATGGAGCTAACTCATTTTTATCCGAGTATCAAAGCTATCCTGATCGGAAGTTACATTAGAATCTATTTGTCTGGAAAACCAGGTCTGCACTAAGATAAAATCAGAAAATGGTGGTTGGTCACTACTCCCTCCGGATGAGAGTCTAAAACACCCACCTTCTGGCCTGGGGCACTGCTTCCCCGAAGGGTCATTCCTTGCTGATAAGAGAAGTGGACATTAACTTGAGGCCTTTCAAAACTGGGGTGTGGAATTTATCTTAGCACTAAGCACTTTAGCAAGAAACTTGAGTCTCTGGGATGCTAACCCTTGGGGAGAGTCTCGAGTTTTGAATAATGCCCTAGCTGTCCGAACGTCGGGGCCGCCACATCTGTGCACCATTTTAAGAAATCGTTGCTCTTTGTTTCCCCTCACAAAACATATCTCGAAAGATTTTGTTATCGACTGGCCTTAATAATTCACTTGCTGATATTTTCTCAGACATACGAGTGCCAGGCGGAGCCTCGGATGCACGTGGGATAACCAAGGTTCCCGCAGGGAGCTTCTCTTATGTAATGTGAATCGGAGGCAAGTGAATTTTACATTTTGGTCAGCGTGTGCGGCCTTGTGTAGGCACGTGCAGATTTCCGTTCCGTTTCTGGAGTGATGAAAGTAGTCTGTGGTCCTTCGACCTCACAGATCCAGAATGGCAGGCTTGAACCACGCTCAGGCCATGGCTGTCCACCCCCGTTCCCCTCCTCCCCACTGTGGAGCTCTCGCATGAGCCATTCTGCATTTCACTTTGAACTTGATTATTTTTCTCTCCTTGTCACTACAGCTTAAGTAGCTATTGTGTGGCCTGAAGCTGTGATGGCTGATGGGTTATAAAATGTGTCCCCCAAACCAGTGAAGGGAATGGGGAGGGAGAACAAAACAGAAAGCCACACCTTCCCCCGGCTTTGTGAGAGCAGCAACCTTCCCATGGCTTTGAAAAAGTCTAGAAGGTCCCCAGAAACAGGCATCGCTCTCCTGTTTTCTGCCAGTGCTGGGGCAAATCAGTGAGGGCAACGAATGTGATGGCACCCTAGCATCTTTCCGTAGAGAGGAGAGCCCAAAGACTGAATTGTTCCACGCTGGAAAAGATAACGTGGAAAGGAGGCCAGCTCGCCGTAGATAAACTGGAAAACTGGCCAAACTGCTCTGCTGCGCTTGACCCCACTCCCAAGGGGTTCACTGGCCCAAGCAGCTCTACAGACCCAGCCTACCCACAAGCTGGCTCCCTCAGAAAAGGAGCAAGCGGATATACCTCAGCCAGGATGCATCTTCTGGAAGTAATACACTTCTAAATGAGAGCTCTAAAACAGAGTGCAGGAGTCAAGGCCCAGACACACAAGCAGGGGCACTGAAAAATGGGATCTGTGAGAGAATGGATTCGGGGAAACAAGAGCACCCCTTAATCTACCAAGTTAACTCAACTGTTGGAGTCCCAGCCGTGCACCTAAGTTATGAAATCTGGAATCTCTGTTGAATAAAACAATAAATTCGGTCTGATCCAGCATATGCACCTTGCTCCTTGGTCTCTCTCACACCCTTAGAATCCATTCCCGCACACGTTCCCGAGGTTTCTGGTAATATAAACTATGCAATTCTGCCATTATTTTGCAGTGCAAGCTCTTCTCTCAGGTCCGACTGTGCACCTGTCCCTTTGGGGCACACTGAGATCTGACTCTGTTTGTGGGTCTAGTGGCAATCAAAGGTGATTAGGTCTGGAGCAGGTCTCAAGGAGGACAAGCATTCCCTAACGAAGCAACCACCCCAGATGAGGGGACCCAGTTCCGTGCTTCCCCATCCGAGTGGCCTGCCCCTTTCTCAAAGGCACTGCCAGGAAAAGAGAAAGCTTCTGGCTGGCGAAGATGAGGGGAAAAGTCAGCTCCCCATCATTAGTTTCAACTCAATTTAATTTAGGCCACACCAGTGCTCTTGAGAGGGGCGACGGGAAATAGAAGAGGCTACAACCTCTGTCTCTAATCTAACCAAGGACTAAACAGCCACTAAATTTTCCCTGCAGTATGGAACTGAATCTCAAACAGGTAACAGACGCCCCTCCGTTTAACACAGTTTTAATGCCCACGTAGCACGACCAAATGCCGCAAGACAAGGAAGTCGTGGCCCACCTTGACTTCTGGCCTCCCAACTAAGTAAAGGCTAAAGAGAAGAAGGGAGAGGTGTAAAGAGGCAGGTCGACTGGCTTTTCTTTAATCAGTTATGTAATTGACTACCTTGTTGGATGCTTTTAAGGGTCTGGAAAGGCCATGATTTAAACACCATTTAATTGTGCCTGTTGGCTAAAGTTACAAATTCAAGCCTATCAGCTACGTGCGCCCCAGTGCCAATGAAGGGGAAAGTATGA